ATATATATATATATAATATCAATGTTTTTTTTAAAACTCAATTTGTTCTTCTTGCTTTCAACTTCGTATCAAATTTAGTTTTTTTGTTAACTTCCATTATAACGCAACGAGAATTTTGTCAAAATCTTATTTTGTCAAAATTTTCATGAATGACTGATTCAAGTTTTGAAAAGATGATTTCTACGACATTTCAATACTTGTGTCTCAAAACAATTAAAATATTCCAACCAATCAACACCTATGAATTTTTTTAATTCATAAAAATTCCAATGATGATAATAGTATTCAAAAATAGTCAAAACCTTGTACATATTACTCACAAAATCACCTTTCTTACAAAAAAAAAAAAAGGAAAAACCCACGAACTTATGAATTTTAATTTTAACAACCAATCTCTTAGATTTAGAGTAAATTTTTTATTTTTTTTCTTAAATTTAAAATTAACTTTTAGTTCCTATGACATTAATTTGATTTAATATAATATTTTAACGAATAAGATCATTAATAAGATGAATTTTATATAATAATATTTTATATATTTATTAACAATATTTAAGAAAAGAACTAAAATAAATTATAATAACATAAGTAAATCTAACTAGAACACGCTTGTAAAACATCGTAATGGATTAAAATAAGATATGATAACTTATATGCTTACCACCAAACAAAACTTATATTTTTTAACGTTTTGCTGTGGTTTGATCAAAGGTATGTTGTTTGATAAATCCAAAAGATTGTTGATTCATGATGCAACATCTACGGGAAGAAAATATAAATATATGCATACATAATTTGCCTCACATCTAATTCTTTGTTATATCCTATTTTCAGTTATTCTATTGTAAGACTCAAAAATTCTTTTCCCCTCTTATAATAGGTGTGATAATTAACTTGTTGGTAAGCTTTGCATTGAAGAGAAACACATAAATTTGGTTTGAAAGAAAAACTTCTGAAAGCATCAAAGCCAAACATCTGAATAAGTTTGAGATGTATACATCATATTAGCTAAACGGCAACATCATCTATCACTGTGTTAAAGCCAAGCATGCCGATCCTAAAAGTATTAACGACCCCTTAGATTAATATGTGGAAGATGATCACCTAATCGTAACAAACATGTAGGAAATGAATTAAAAATATTAGGGGAAAAGAAGAACACTAATGGTCCAAGTCCAACACCAACGGCCAAGCAGGTACCACAATGACAATATGACTCATGTTCCATTAGTTTTTCTTTTCTTAGTTTTTCATATTCTCTTACTGGGCAGGGCCTTCCCAACAAATCAATAATAGCCAGTTTGATTTAGTGTAATCACATTTGTATAATAAACTTTTGAATTTGTTTAGAATTTGAACTAAAAAATATTATTTTTTATTTCAATGTTTCGCACCTTTTTCTTTTGGATGGAAAGGGAGAAAAAGAAGAAGAAGAATGTTAGGATTTTTGATATTTTTTATAGAAAAAATAAGACGTACCGAAAACGTCTAAAAAAATGTTAATTATTTAAACTTAATTAAAAGACTAATGATAATTTATTCACAAAGGTGCCTTGTTGCTTATATATTCTCTTTTGCTATTAAAGATATTTTAACTTCAAATATGTTGCATTTAGTTATGTATATATAATTCTCTTTTTTCCTGCATACCTATTCAAAATAGAAATGGTACGTACATCGGAGTGATTATGTTTTGAAATGAAAGAATATATGTAGGTAACATAGAAAGCGTTAGCTTTTTGAAATGTTTATATGTTTTTTTTTTGTTGACATATTAACTACATAAAAAGTCATTTTTCAGGAATTACTATGCTTATTATGGAAATATAAATAACTGCTAAATTATTTTGAGTCAATTAAACTATGGTCAACGTATTTAGAGTCTGAAAAAGTATTAACAGTAATTATAGTTGGTGAGTACCAGTTAAAACTCATTTTATTGTAGCTTATCTTTTATAAATTAACATTTAAAGGCTATAAATACTCATTTACCACCAAAGCTGTAGTGCAAGATGGGTTTTATATCCACTAATTTATTGCCACCATATAATTGCTATTAAAAGTAAACTGTGTTGCGGTATGAATGGCAATGAAAATTAATTATATATAACCATGCAATTAATTTGTTTTCTTTTACATATGTATTATTTTAAATATAAATATTTGAAATTCATCCAACTTTTTCATCTAAGACCACTTGTATCTATATATTAAATTAGAGGGTATAAATAAAGTATAAATATTTATTTAAGTTGTTTATATATTTTTTTTATTTCATCCCCCTCCTCCTTTTTGCCATTTTATTTTTGGTCAATTAGTTCTTGGGTCTAGTACGTTCAAATCCAAACACATCGTACATAAGAATGGACTTTTTCATGTGTGTGTGTGTTTTTTTTTCCTACATTCCTTTTCTCGTTTTGGGGCATTAATTTTGACTGAATGGGCCTTGATTTTCTGTTGGATTGGTAAATTGTGAGAAAAATAAAACTCCAAGTAGAATATAAATTACGTCATCAGCCGAAAACAGAGATGAATTATTTTTGCTAAAAAAATAATTTTATAAGTCGATGAAAACAGGAAATACATTTTCTAAATAAAATGAAAAAAAAAGGCTCTAAACCACTCAAGGGCACTTGAGTGGAGTGAATCTAAAGACAGGAACAACCGTAGAAGTGGTAGCTGTTTGAGATGAGAAGGATTAGAAAGATGATACCAAGTTTTCTTCATACACATTCTCCTCACCACGCAATCGCAAGAGGTTGTCACTTTCAATATAATTCTTTTCAAACTGGTAAATCAGCCTTGCCCTTTGGCTGTACCTTAATCCAAACTCCAAAGTATCATCTAATCTCACCAGACCTTATGTTACTTTTTCATGAGTTTCAATTTAAGAAATTAGACTATATTTTAAGAATGGATAAACAACTTCTCGAGTTATATTTCACATTAATTGTTTCAACTCATTAATATCTTATATTTTTTTTAAATGAATAATATTTTGTATAACATGATATATATATCAATATTAATTATTATGAAATATATACTATATACTATAATTATATATTTATTTAATTATATATCATGTTAAGATTCATATATTTGTCAATCAATTGATTTGACTGAATTTTTTTTTCATATATTATTGGACTCAATTATCGTTATCAGATTTAAATAAATAACTCGATCAAAATTTCAAATCAAAGAAATACCATCCCCAACAAGTATCATGCACACCCAAAATGAACTGCGTGTTTGTTTTAGCATTTACAAAAGTTTCATGCCTAAGCATGAGATTCTTGCTTCTACATAATGGATCGATTTTGACCTGATTTTTATAATGATACTTGCGCATTAGATGTGACACCCACGGAATCTACGTACATTTCAAAACCAAAATCACATTCACATCCGAGATGAAAAAACTATCTCATATAACTTCATTTATTTTGTTTTGTTTTATTTTATTTTATTAAACAGATAGCTTCACTTTAGAGATGAAAGACCATGTCAGTGACGCATGCATGTACAAACATGGGGGTAATCCACGTGCCAACAAGAGATGCATCTTAAGGCCATCTTAACTAAATGCATATTAGTTTTAATTAATTTTGGTAGATTTTTAAAATCTCTTTCACCAAGATTTTAGTTAAAAAAAATTTAAATATAAATAAATTAATCCAAACTTATATTGAAAACACCCTTTCAGGATGAACATCTTAAGTTTTTCCAAAGAACAGAAAAGAAGAAGGAAAAAAAACAAACTGGAATTGCTATCTATCATTCTATTTCTTTAGAGTGATTATGAATCATTTGACACTATATTTTTTCACATTTATAAAATATTCGTGAAAATTTAACTCAAATAAAGATTTTTTATTTAAAAATATTTATTATTTCAGGAATATACAGAAAAATCATTCAACATATACTTTTTATAGTCAATAAAAGTATTTATTATATATATTCAATCAGGAATTGAAGATTCAATAATATTCATTGAAAGAGATAATTGAAGGCCCCGTCTCGTCAATATTTGCATGGCAGAGTTGGACCCCAGATGGCAGAGTAACTGACACAAACATGAATTCTAGATTGAATGATAAAGTAAAAACAATGAGTGACACTGTTCTCTTTTCTAACTTGAAAATCAATCCAATAAATAAATGGAGCATATACACCTCATCATATAGTCCTCATCCAAAATTCAAACCTTACTGGACTATTTAATTAACACCAGCATGAGAAATGATTCATTCTATCACACAAAACACAGAATTATCATGAGGTAGAGTGAGAGACAACCACCAAGTCCAATGTCTTAAGTTCTAAGTAACACGGTACCTATCTAGTGGATCTTTGAATAGGAGACGTTCATGGTAGACTCTCCAAGCGTAGTCTTCAAAATCAAATGAGTTAAACACTCTCTCTTGGCCTTCACCACCACCACCTCCATTATTACTTTCTTCTTCACTCTCTTCCTTTGTTTGGTCCTTATTGGGAAGAAGTGGAGCCACTCTGCTCTCTGTAGGAAGAGTTATCAGCAATGACATTGTTATGCAGCGTGTATCATTTTCTTCTCCCACTGTCGCCACTGGTCTACCCCTCACTTTCTTTAATTTGCCATTGCTCCACACCTGCACAAAATTATTCTCTACATATCAATGCATCATCATCCTTAGGATTAATATATATGATGTGCTCTTAAAAATAAAATATTTTTAAAAATAGTACATGATGCAAAATTGTATAATTAAATAATGAATCTTGTAACAGTGGTATAACATTGTGATTTGAGGCTTTTGCCTCGTCTAATTTTCTGAGTTGAATACAAGTTTTTCTGCTTTAGGCCACATCCCAATGAAAAATGAAGAACAGGTACCACACAACATTATGGCCCGCCTTGCTAAAGATGGGGCCCAACCAACATAAATTATCTGCATGATCAAAATCAGAATTTGCATGCCGATATGCAAGACTGAAAAGAACAACCATTATTTTCTTTGATTATATATATATACGTATCAAAATATTTTAATCTTAACTTCATTATCATTCTTAAAAATCTATACCAAAACAAAAATTTATCATTCTTAAAAATATAAAACAAATAATGTAGAATGACATCACCAACATAACATTCCCTCATTTATCGCGTGACCCAACAACTGAAAAAGGACTCCTTAGTTAAAAAAGAATAAAAGACTCGTTCAGATAATTAACATTGCCTCTGAGCTTAAATCACATGGTCCAAATAAATTGTGCTCAGTTTAGTTTGTCTTTTCAAGCCTTGTTCAAACATCAAATTATACATGCTCGAGGGCAATAGAGTAATTAAAGGTCATAAATAATTCTAAACTAGCAACACAATTACGTGACCCAACCGACAATATCATATGATAATGTAAGCTTTTCCCCCAAACCTGGCCACTAATTAGGAGAAAGAAACGAAAAAAAAAAAACAAGTATTCAACAAAATTAACAAACATCCAAACCATAAAGCAAACAAGCCACAGCCATCGTGTCAGAACAAAAACATTAAACAATTCAAAACATAACCTAAAACAAAAGCTTTAATCATTAATCTACTCCGATATTTACCAGCACTTTACCTTTGTTTTAGGACATCACTTTACTCTTTTAATTTTATATAAAGAAATTATAAGCTTTGATTTTTTTTCTTTTACAAAAAGTATAAGTTTTGATCTTAAACAAGCAAATTTAATACATTTTAATTCTATCGTTAATATCGTTGCTAACTTTGTTGACGTGGCTTACTGTATGGTGGAATATCTTACATTTTAATGTCTATCGCTAATATCTAGCGATTAACTTGTAGAAAAAGTTTATAACAAATATATTTAATAGATCTCTTTAATGTATAATGATCACACTAATGTTAGTATCCACGAGTTTACGATCTTAGACAAATTACTTCAGTTTTCACGATAAAGGTGACTAATAATCTAAAAGTAGTTTTATGCGAGTCAAGTAGAAGATAAGATTCTTTACCTTAAACTTGAAGTCATAAGTTGAAATAATTCTGTGCCTATTAATTCAGACACTCATTTATTTATAATTTTTATATATAAGAATAAGATAAAAAGAATAAAATGCAAAAGAACTAAATTAATAATTAAACAACAATTATGATTACCTGAGCAATGTCACCAACAGTAACCAAAATCGAGTCCACGTGTGGCAGCACAGAAACCCATCCCGAATCAGACAGCATCGAGTATTTCTGATTCCTTATCTGGAACTGCAACCCGACCACAAACGGGTAAAACCCGCCCGATAAATCGGGTTTCGATCCACGAACACACTCCGATACCCACATGAGTGAACGGAACCGGGTCGGGTCATGTCCAAGTGGGTTTTCGAAGCCCAACTCCTTCGTCAACCCATCAACGATCTTCAACCCCAGCTTCTCCAGTTCCAGCGCCAACTCGCGCAGAGAAGCCAGAGCCAACTCGCTCGACTCGGTCCACCGCGCCGAGTCCAACCGGAACGACTCGGCGAGCCCCTCGTCCTCTTCGTCGCCGTAGCCGAGAGGCCAGTTTTTGGGGAATAGCGCCTCCTTCCGGTCGCGAGAGAGGTCGAAGAGCGCCAGCGCTTCCGACTCGGCCGAGTTGGCGAGCCCGGAGGGAACGGAGTGATCGGTGAGTTGCGCGTAGCCGAGTTGCGAGACGCAGGAGAGGACGTCGTCGTTTAGGGAGAGAGAGGGGGGACACGTGGCGGCCGCGGAAGACGGCGAGGCGCAGCGCGTGGGGAGCGAGAGCGTGGGCGGGAGGCGGTGGAGGAGGCGCGAGAGCGCGTCGGCGGCGTCGGAGGTTGACAGGAGGCTATTCGGCTGCGCCGCCGGCGTTGGCGGCGGAGCCGAGGTGGCGCCGCCATAGAGGTTGGGCAAGAGTTGTTGCTTGTGAGTCGAAGAGGCCATTACGTGAGATAATAATAATAATAATAATAATAATGATGATGGTGCGAAAGTTTTTGGGACCCCGTTGCGTTTATATATGTTGGGCTCCTTTTGTTGAGTTCGAGCGTGCGAGTATTGGGGAGAGGACGATTCACACGTGTGAAGTGTGATGACCCATTTCTATTCCATTTTCCACGACTCTATATCGTTTTTCCCTAATTAAATCATTACACATTTCCTTCTTCAACGTGACACAGATTAGTTAACAATGTCGGACTTGGCAGGCAATATAAATGCTCCTATTGGGATATTTTTTTAACACATTTATTGCTCAATGTTGCTTGTGCCAACATTCGTGAAAATAACCATTCATGTTTGCATAACTATTTTTATTTGTAGTATATCTCCTCCTGTAAATACTACGACACTCAAATTAGAAAATAAATATGATATCTCTTCTATGATTAATTAACTTTAAGGTGACACAACAAAAGAAGTTGAGATAGGTCAAGGGTGAAGGACAAAACCAAAAAAAGGTGTAGGGAAGCAAGAGGTTTATTACTAGACTACTCATAGGCAAACAAATTCGGTGCTTAGGATTGAATACTAGAGGGGCTGAATTTTTCCTTTAACACTAAATATTACAGCCTTCTTTTTTTTTTAGGGGTCGACAACTACACCTGTATACTTATACCTAGTTTCGTCCATGTGAAGGGTAGTCTAGATAAACACTACCTCTATTATTATATATAGGAAACAAATATTTAATTAATTGAAATTAATAAAGATAATTAAATTAGTTAATTTTAATTAATAATGTCTTAATTTGAAAATGCATTTTAAAAATATTAATAAAATATCAAATGGCGTGAGTGGTAGTTATATTTAATGATTACTCATAAATCAATAAATAATGTTTTCAACTAATAAGTAATTTTTTGACTCATTAAAATGATAGATAAAAAATGACACTTTCAAAATTATCAATGAGTCAATGACATATTAGAGATTCTTAAGCCAAGTACCAATTTTGACTTAATATTTAGTAGAAGTTTAATAGTACTTAACTTGATCCAAGAATATACTTGTCAAACTGGGGGTCAATAGAAGTTTATCAAAGAAATTTCACTTCTAGTGTCATCGCATTTCCTTGAGTGTGACTTACATTGTTAGTAGCTCAATAATATATTCACTTCTATGAAAAATTAGTGAGTAGTTTATTAATAGACTTATAATAATTAAGGGTACAAAATAAAATTAGCAATTAATACATTTTATATATATATATATATATATATATAAAAGAGAGATGTTTTTTTTTTTAATTAATTAGGACCACAATCAGACTTTCATTTGTTTCTTTCATATAATACTACTTTTGATTATATATAAAACATTATTTTGGTACTAACATAGGTCTACTTTTATATCTATTAATTGATTGATAATTTTTTATATTATTAATTTAGTAAGAGTCTATTAATGAGACATTCACTCATTATTTATGAAAGTGATGCATTTATTTGGTTACTTGCATACTACTATTATAAGTCATGTTTATCGGTTGAAAAACTATTCTTTAGCATCATTAATATTTGTTAGAATAGTGGATTAAGCCTAACTCAACCCTACAAAACCGGCTTGTAAGGTAAGGGTTGCTTTCCACTTATATATTATTCAATTGCCTAATCTCTAGTCGATGTGGGACTTGGATTTTTTCCAATACACCCCCTCACGTCCAGCACTATTGGGCTTGGTACGTGGATAAATGGTGGGTGGCCCTTTTTAATGATCTAGGATTGGCGGGACTTGGGTTTTTCCCAATACACCCCCTCGTGCCTATGAGACATGCATCAATGGTGGGTGGCCCATTTTTAAAGTGGATCTAAATGGCTCTGATACCATGTTAGAATAGTGGATTAAGCCTAACTCAACCCTACAAAACCGGCTTGTAAGGTAAGGGTTGCTTTCCACTTATATATTATTCAATTGCCTAATCTCTAGTCGATGTGGGACTTGGATTTTTTCCAATAATATTATTATCAGTTATACCATTTAACTCTAGATATATTTTTTTGAATAAAATTTTAAATTAAGGTTTTTTTATTTATAAAAAATACAATGATGACAACAAAATTTAAACTTATAACTACGTGTATGTTATCTCAATTTTAATGATTTTAAATTAAGATATTATTAATTAAAACTAATTAATTTAATTACTTTAATTGATCGTAATGAATTAAGTATTTTTTTTTATACATATACAAATAAAAGTAGCGTTAAATATGAGTATTAAACTAAATACAGTAATATTTTTATATGTATTAAATATATTTGAATATGTGTGTATCAATAATAAATTTAAACATCAATAAATATAAAATGAAAGCAGTATATAAATATATTTACACTGATTAATAAATTCAGTCAAGTCTATAATTCTATTGTTGTTTTTCTTAATCTTTTAACTGTATTTTGATAATTTTTTAAGCCTTCCATCATTTGGTATATACTTTGGTCTCTTTTTAGATGATATATTTCAATTCCTATAAGATAGGGATTGATATGTATACATTATTTACGAATGTGGATTTATTTATATTATTTTTCCGATTTCAAATGTGTAATATATTTTTTAAGGATGTAAGTAAATCTTCATTAATATTACAATTAATTTTTTTTATATGATAAACAAAGTCTTCAATTCAGTTATCTTATATATTAATTTAAGAAGTAAATAAAAATAAATTAAATTAAATGAAAATAAATATTAAATTATATTTAATTATCATTCTCCCGATAAAACCCTCAAAGATAGAAAGTCATTTTTATGCCTCATTGGTGAAGCCACAACTTAGGTGCTTCACCATAGCACATAATTATTATTTTATATAATTAAACTTATCTATTCTAGGTATGATCTTGTAAAAAGGTTAGATGTTAGGTATGCGATGGTGTCTACCAGTCAGTGTTCATAAACTAAGGAGACAAGGAACAGTGGAATGGACAGAGCTTAATTATTCAAGCACAGTGGAATATCTTGATTGAAACCATGGCCATGAGTGTTGAATTCATTACTTTATCTGTGCCAGATTTTGCATAAAATATTAGTGGCAGCCTTCTGCCATTTTGTGAGGAAAGATGCGCCTCTCGTGGTCACGGACACTGGTGGCTCTTCAATTCAGCAGTTGGGAAAAAGCTTAACTGTTTCTTCAACACTTGTCTCACTCAATAATTTAAAGAAATAAATAAATAAAAATATTATATAAAACTATTTTTAATCAACCTAATTTTATTTTAATGATAACAAAAATGCATAAAAATATTAACAAATATATATTTAATAAAAAATGTTGATTCGAGTAATAATTGAATCCACTACTTAAATGAAATCTCGAATTTGAGTTTTATTAATAGAAAATACATAGTTGCACTAGAGTAGATAAATACTTGTAAAAACAAAAGTAAATTAATATTTCATATCAATAAAATATATATTTAAAAATTATTTTAATTAGTGAAAATCAACTTGAATGATTCTATTTTACACCAGAATCCTTTAAAAAAAATTTTGATAAAAGGATTTTTAGAGATTTTTTAAAAAAATTTATCTACTTCAATTTCATATTATCATATTTATTTATAAATTTAATTTAATATTTTTAAAATAAATTATCAATAGATAAAAATAATTTTTTGTCAAAATATAAATTATTTACTTAAATTTAAAATATATTTTATATATGTTTAAATATGATATTTATTTATACATATAATATATTATAAATTTTAATTATATATAATAAACATTTAATTGTGAAACATATATACTAAAATATTTTTGAAGATAGTTTACAAATAATTAGTTACACATACTGGACCTGGTTCTTTAAATTTAAAATAAATATTTTTAAACAGGTATTTTAAAAGAAATAATTTTTTAAGAAACGTGCAAGAGTTATTTCTATAAAAAAAATCAAAAAAGATATTTAAAAAAATAGACACGCATATAAAAAATATTTAAAATTTATTTTATTAAAAAACAGTTTTAGAAAAAAAAAAGTTTTAAAAAACAAACTCAATATTAATCAGATAAAAAATTTATATAATCTATACTAATATATAAAGAGTTAATCACCTATACACTGTCAGTAAAAAAAATTTTTGCACTGGCAACCAATCATATCTTTTTAATAGTGTCATGTCAGTTGTTTATTTAATAAAATAAAAATAAAATAAAATAATTTAAAAGATATGATTGGTTGCCAGTGTAAAAATTTTTACACTGACAGTGTATGGATGATTAACTCATATATAAAAGAGATACCTTTTTCGGTAATCACCTTGGTCTCCACTTTTTTGGACCATTATACCATTTTATTTTAAAAAATTAGAAAAATATTTTTAATCAAATTTAAAAACTTGAAACTAATCAATCTATACTAATATATAAAGGAAATTTCACTTTCAATAACTACTTTTGATTTTTGTTTTTACATGGACCATTTTTTTTTAATAACCACCTTTTTTATAAGTAACTTCTCATTTTTTATTTATTTATTTTAATATAATACAGGCACGAAGTGTGTTTTTCCTGCTAGTAATTATAAAAGATAAAATATTTAAAAAGTTACATATTATTATTCAATAATATTATTAGAAGTTAAAAAATATTTATTTAAATAGAATTCAATAACATCAAAATATATTAAAAAAATCATTTAATAAAAAATTAATAAATATATTCGAATTATAAATAAATTATTTAAAATTAATTTAATCAATGTAATTTTATTTTATAATAACAATAATTCATAAAATTATTAAAACATATACATTTAAAAATAGCAAAAATATCTTAATTAATATAGATCATTTTAATTATAGTTTACCAAAAATTGTTAACATATAATATTAATTGGAAAAATTGAAGTATTAATTACAAAAATAAAATGTTTAAAAAGTTCCATATTATTGCTGTTACAATGTAATTTGTACTCATTAATGATATTTTGTTTGTCTTAATTATACTTGTTTTACTATTGCGTCTCATTTTATAATTGTTTAAAAAGTAAACTTATGTGAGAACAACCTCTTTGCATAACGAAACACAACAAGAAATGAAGGTGTCCAAAAAATTGTATGTTCTTGTTGATTGAAATTTCTGAAAGAACAAATCAATATCATTGAATCATGATTTGTGAAATTTATAGGTCTATTAGATAAGGAAAATGATGCATCCTCTCAAAGAAAACGCCGAAATTTCTTCGGAGTTATTAAAAAATTGATTTAGCTTCTTGGCTATCCTGATCCAATCTTCAGGTAAGGGAAGCTAGGATTTCTTGCCGGTTGTGTGTTGTAGTGAGCTAGGACTCACGAATTCCTGAGATTTTCAAAGATTTTGAGCTGTTTTGGATGAAAACTCATTTTTTGGGTTTTTGGTGAAATTTGGGATTTTCATTGTTTATGGTTGCATGTGGGTAAAATTGGGATTTTTGGGTTGTTTAATAAAAATGTGATGTTTTGGGCCGATTGCATGTGTTTGGAAAGCTGATTTGGTGCAGGTTTGGAAGAGATTTTCGAAGTTTGAGGGTTGCTGCTGGGTATCACGCTGGGCGCAATTCTTCGCGCCGGGCGCGTGACCATCAGAGGGCTCCATTGGGCAAGCTCGCCGGGCGCAGTGGTGTATGCGCCAGGCGAGCTTGAGGGTGTGAGCCTCTAGATGGCCCACGCCGGGCGTGGTTGGACCGCACTGGGCGCGATATCAGTAAGTGACATTGCTTGGGGATTTCTGGTGTGGCGCCGGGCGTGACCTTGTCTTGCCGAGTGTGGAGACTTCTTGGGAGTCTCTGTCAGAGGTGGCGCCGGGCACAATTTATATTGCGCCGAGCGTGAGATTTTGGGGAAGTCTCTGCTTACCCTGCGCTGAGCGAGGGTTTGCACGTCGGGCGTGTGAGACCTTTTGAGGTCTTTGCCTCCTAGCACGCCGAGCGCAATGGGAATCATTGCGCCGGGTGCACTGAGCCCTGATGCTCTCTAGTTGTGCCATGCTGGGCACGACCATGAGCGCGCCGGGCGCAGACATGATAGTTGATGTTAAGTTGTTATGTGTAGAAATGTGATGATAGATATGTTGAGCTGAGCTGTAGTTGTTAAATATTGTTGTGCTGACTAGTTGATAATGCTGAATTATGGTGTTGAGCTGAAATTGATGAATATGTTGTGCTGTTAGATGTTATTGCTAATTAAGGATGTTTAGGTTGTGCTGTAAGTTCTTTAGCTGAGTCGTAAGCCGCTATTGTTGTATGTTGATATTGCTGTGTTGTAAGTTGTTTAGCTGAGCCGTAAGCCGCTATTGCTGTATGCTGATATTGCTGTGCTGTAAGTTGTTTAGCTGAGCCGTAAGCCGCTATTGCTGTATGCTGATATTGCTGTGTTGTAAGTTGTTTAGCT